GCTAAAATACTGACCGGTTGTGAAATTGTTTTGAAGCCAGGTCTTTCCAAGGGCAGGTGCAAAGTTTCTCATTGGAGGCCCCGCCCTTTGAGATGTGAATGGGAGCAGTGTCTCTGGGAGGGCCACCTGTTTGTTTGGATAAAGGCATGTGGAATTCTGGGCTGAGTCAGCCCTCAGGTACTTCCGCCTGGTGAAGACCAGGTAAAAGGACCCTCGGGTAAGCTGGGCTTTTGTTTGTGAGTTGGAACACATCAAGCAGCAGCGGCATTACGTGGAGGTGTGACCAAGTGCCTTCCTTTTAAAGGAAGTGTCCCGTATATGTCTTTTAATGCATAGAGTCCACGGAGGAGAACAGCACATTCTTGGATTCTTAGGCCAGGGAATGCTCCCATTAAACCACATGATGTAGTAACAATACCTTCTGGTCGCGTACTATTACTGAGATGTAGTAACAATACCTTCTGGTCGTGTACTATTACAGAAAAGCCTCGTTGTTCTGTTTAAAGTATCCCAACAAGAGAAGGGATGGAGGGTGTAGTTGGGGGTGGGGTATCAGAGCCTGTGTGGTCCAAGGCACACCCCTCGAGGGGATGAAATAGAGCATCTACCCAGCATTCCTTGGGGTTGGCTGCCATCTTGTTTCCAGCATTTTTCACCTGGGTCCACTGGGAGAGTCCTTCTAGAAATACACCTTCACTCAGGTATTGTGAACAAGCGGGCAAGTAGGGTTAACTTTATAGATGTTCTGAGAATAGTCAGCTCTGATGCAGTTTACTTTTTAAATTGAGTCTGTTCCAGAGTAGAAGTAATATTTTCTATCAGGCTCGTGCCATCGTAAAGAATACTTACAGGGCCAAGACTGGGTTGCAGAGTTGGGGAAGAAATCTGACTGGGAACTCTGAAGGGTTAGCGAAGGGTCTTTACTTCCATTTTTATTTTGGAGTTCTTTCCCACACGATGTCATAGAGCGTGATTGAAGTGAAATATATTGGGTGGCATAAACCTTTTAGGTCCTTTTTCTCAGCTGTATTCCTGATTCTTTTGGAGACAAAAGTAATTAAACTATTTCCAGTTCTCTAGAGTGTTCTCAGAGGAGGAGCTGAGGCAATCGTACAAGAGGCTTAATTGAAAAGGAAAGTGGAAAAGTGTGGTGAGATTGACAGATATCTGAGGACTTTCTTGTTGGCAGGCAATAGCAAAACCTGGGACTACCCAGGCCTGGAATTCTTTAGGCCCCTGTCTAAACGAAGGAATATAGTTTGAAGATAAGACCGATTTGCATAGGTATGTGACTGAGTTTAAGGTCTGGAGGCTAGAGAGAAAAAAAAAAACCTTGACTGATGGCCTCCCTGCCGTTATAACGGAACGTGCCCACTTTCACCGGCTGCCTCCCCTCTTGACCCTTGGGGGTGTACCAGGGACCCTGACCCTTCACCTGTCAGTGCAGCTGCTCCTTGGGCTAAAGACTTGCACCTTTGAAACCCTCCCCATGTGGAGCCCACCCCCCATGAAAGGCTCTTGTATGTAGAGAGGAGGGAGGAAGGGGGTTTATCTGAATACACGGTTCAGCCTTCTGTTGTGTGATTTTTTTTTTTTTTTTTGCAGTACGTGGGCCTCTCACTGTTGTGACCCCTCCCATTGCGGAGCACAGGCTCCGGACGCGCAGGCTCAGCGGCCATGGCTCACGGGCCCAGCCGCTCCGCGGCATGTGGGATCCTCCTGGACCGGGGCACGAACCCGCGTCCCCTGCATCGGCAGGCGGGCTCTCAACCACTGCGCCGCCAGGGAAGCCCCTGTTGTGTGACTTTTGAAATGGTTTGTGTAATCGAGGATCTCTTTGCTTGCTTTGGGAAAAGAATCTCAAGGATAAAGCAGGTGGATTTGTGGCTGGCTGCTCTCAAGGGAGCTCGCTCTGTGCGTCCAGATCTTGGCTTTGTGGAGTCCTGCTTCAGGGCCTCCACCACGGAAGCTAGATATTGCTTCAGTTTAACTTTAAAAATCCAGTACCGATATCAGACTGCTTCGGGGGCAGGCCCACACAGGAAAGGTTTGACAGCCATATTTAAACAGCCCTGTATCATTGGGGTGCCCCAAGGAGCTGACCTGTAAACTTCAGAAGGGAGCCCATGAACATGACTGTGTTTGGGCAGGGAGACTCTAGGGTCAAGACCAGAGTCTCTACCCGCTCGTCCATATGTAGGTAGACGTCAACCCTGGACGCTCTGGCACTAGCTGGCAGGGTCTGCTTGACCTGGCGTCAGGTGACTCTGCCTTCTGCTGTTCCAAGAGGGGACCCCTTGGGGGTGCAGACGGCCTCGCCGCTGTTTGCCTGGGTGAGAGAATTTAATCCCCGTTGTGGATGACACCTTAATGCACTAAAAGAAGATTACTTATTTTTAAAGCCTGCTTTCCATTTTGTTCTCATCCATTTGGCAAATGGGACATTATTACTCTCAGAGAGGCAGGGGCAGAGCCTGGCCCTGGACACGGATTTGGCCTAATGGTCATATCCCTCCAGCTGGACCCCTAGGAACACTGGTGGCATTTTGTTTGGCCGTATCAAAACTGATCAGGTTGTTGATGTGATTAGTTTTTCCAGCTGAATATACTAAAGAGAGGCCAAGCAATGGTCGGTCTATATGACAGGTGTTATTTAGAGGGTCAGAAAGCCATAGGGCCAGGGAAGACCCTCCAGGGGGGTCTCTGTGAAAGGGCGTTCAGACCCTTCGATGTCCCATTTTTAGTGACTCCACTTACTTTCCTGATGTGACTTGAATGGTAATTGTGACCTTTGGAGGCTTGCATTCTAGGAGTTTTAAAGTCTTTTAAAATCTTTGTTGGACTATTCGTTTATTTGCTTTCAACCAGGTGCTTGGGCTACCTGTGTATCGGGAATGGAGCAGTGGGGTAGCTTTTTGTAGAACTGGGTACAAACGGAAACCAAACTCTTTCTTGAGTCAGGGCGCTAAGGAAGCTGTCAGTGTTCTCGGTAACATTCTAATTCGCTTAGTGTAGAAGTTTCCAAAGAAGAAGTCAACCAGTCACCGTCTGGTTTTTAATTTTAAGCAGTGAGACAAAGAACAGAGAGTCGTGTCACTTGTGTGTATAACTCATCCGGCATCAAAATCCATTCCTTCTGGGACGTCCCTGGTGGTCCAGGGGTTAAGACTCCACGCTCCCAATGCAGGGGGCCCAGGTTTTATCTCTGGTCGGGGAACTAAGATCCCGCATGCCACGTGGCTCGGCCAAAAACAAGTTCCTTCTAAAAGGGTTGTTTATAGAGCATTTATTTTTAAAATGAATACATGACATTTCTTATACAAACATTTTTTTGTGCCACCCTTCGATGAGCTCTGGAGATGCAATAGCATGATGAAGACGTAGAACTAACCCACGTAAATCAGTCCTCTGAGAGGGACTTGACAAGAACGGATGAAAATAAGGGTGGTGCGGTTTTCTGCCAGCATTTGGAAAAGGCAAGATTTTCTTTTTCTAACCCTGCTCTGTCAAGAGCATTTATAGTGGACACTGGAAATGGGCCCCTTGCAGGCGGCCTGGTATGGTACAGCTCAGGTTCTTGTTGGAGGGGCGGGTGGGCCCCGAGCGGAGTGGGTTAGCCAGGGATCAGCAGGGGGACATGTTTTTAGTCTGAACTTTGTGAAATAGCAGTTATCCTGACAAAGTAAATGTTTTGACAGTCTTCCTACTTGGTATTTTAGGTTCTAAATCCACCAGAGAATTAAAAGAATTTTTCCTTCCTTCCCAAGTGACACCATCCAATATGGGGTCAGCAGTTCCCTGGGGAACGTGGAATCCATCCCGCCGTACCCTCAGCCTCTGCCAACCCGGCTTTGGCCGGACGCACGGGCCGCCTACTGGACCCCCTCCACCCTCTCCCACTGCCCTTGCTCCCTCTGCCTTTGCACACCTGGCACCTGGCCTTCTGGTCCTCCCACGCTGGGCTTGCTTGGCATCTTTGCCAGGAGGGTGGCCGACCCCTCGTTCTGGAAGGTCTGCTCCAGTAGGGGGACTCTGTGACAGAAACACGATGCTTCTCTGTGGTAGCAGCGTTCACACTCATCCCTCTAAAATGCTTTGAGATTTATGTCAGGAATATGGTCAGGTTTATTCCTGATGTAATTATTTTGTCTCATAGGTCTTTAAATGAGCTCATTTTACAACTTTTTTTTTTTTTTTTTTTTTTTTTTATGGTTCGCTGTCCCACTTCTGTTGCCTCTCCCGTTGCGGAGCACAGGCTCTGGACGCGCAGGCTCAGCGGCCATGGCTCACGGGCCCAGCTGCTCCGCGGCATGTGGGATCTTCCCAGACCGGGGCACGAACCCGTGTCCCCTGCATCGGCAGGTGGACTCTCAACCACTGCGCCACCAGGGAAGCCCTGAGCTCATTTTATAATTCTATCTTTGTTAAGGCTATATCATTTTGTAACTGTTTAATATTTCATTCGTTCTTTGAATTATCCCTGCATCTTTGAAAACCACAATAGGTTAAAATTTATTAAAATAGAAACAATTTCTTGCGTTCTCGGTACGTTTTTAATTTTTTCCTTGTAACATCCATAAGACGTTTTCTTTTTAAGGCCCAGTTTTAGTGAGAGACAGTGGCTAATGGCGTTCACTCCATGTGAATGTGGAACTGTCTGGGCAATTTAAAATCGGCTGCGTGGAGAAATAGAGCGAAGCCATGTTTAAAGAAAAAGATCTTTATGAGTGGAAAGATCCTAGCTAGCTTTGGGCAAGCCAGAGTTAGCTCCCAGGAATCCACCAGGAAGAAGAGATCTGAAATATTGTTTCTAGTTTTCAAATGACTGCATAGTAGAAAAGGTGTGAATCTGGGTATTCATCCATATTTGAAACTCTGAATTCTTGTCCTTGCTGATTTATAGAGTCCAGATTATTTTGTACAGTGAAATGAAGATGGGTAAGGTGCAAGCTCTCCTCTCTCTTGCGTAAAGTTCCGTTGTTTTATGGCCCCTTCTCTAGGTGGTGTTTTGTCATGTCGTGGGCGAGACCATCCAGTTCCTGGTCAGCGTGGGGCTACCCTCGTCCGAGGACACGGGGCGCCCGCTCTACAGTGTGCGGCTCTCCCCGCTTCATCTACAGGTAAAGTTGGGGAGACTGAGCGAGTCCTAGGAAAACAGTTCTCATAAACCTGCAGGGTGAGAGGGGTGCAATCAGACGTGCATGCTCCTGTTTTCATTAATTACTGTTCATTTCATAAGTTTCGAACTGTCACCTTCCATATTGTCTCTGTAGGAAATAAAGTGTGTGTGAAATAGGTGTATGTATACACACACACACACACATATACACACATAGATATATACACAGACACATATATATACACGCACACATATGTACACGTATATATAACGAATTCAGAGTTTCCCAACCATCCAGTACGGGAGATATGGTATTTTTCAAGGCACTGAAGCATATCAAGGGTGTGTCGACTGTTAGATTAAGGAAAATGTCATCTGAGAGAAGGCAGGTGGTTCTATTTCAGGATCAAGTACTAGACCTCAGAAGTCTCCTGCAGCTTGGAAAACAGCTTGGGGCTGGACTTGGCATTCCTCCTTTTAGTGTTCGAAAAAGTCAGCTTTAAAAGACCCCTTATTATTTTTATATGTTAAAGGATGAGTACTACCATTATTTTTTGGATAATAGACATTGTTATAATAATTATATTAGACTTACATAATTATAACTTTTATGATTGATACATTTATATATTGTATATGTAACATTAATAATTATACATAAAGCAATTATAAGTAGAGACATATGTAATATTATAATAGACCTATTAGTGAAACTTATGGATGCCTAAACCATCAGATAGCTGTGCATGTCACACACACAGAAGCAGGAGTTCACTGAAGCTCTTGTGTAGCCGGTGTGTAAAAATTGTGAATTTCTGAGTCTGCGTCGGGGGTCTCTGCTGATTCAGGCCGTTCCCTCTCCTCTGTCCTTGTGCTTGACTGCTAATTTGGGGGACGAGCGCAAATCATTCAGGGTTCTCAACCACAGGGGAAGATTATATTCCATTTTCTTTGCTTAAAAGACATGGTTTGGAACAACCAGAGCAAGCACAAAAATTTCTGGCTCCCTAAATGGCTTTTCTCTGAAGCCCAGCCTCCCCAGCCCTACCCTGGTAACATTCCCTTTCCGAGAGTCGAAGAGGTTAAGTTGACCTCGTGGACTTGTCAGATGTTAAAGCCCTGCTGCTCCCCCCACTTAGTTTTTTGGACAATGTGATCAGAAGATTATTTTAAAGTCTGGGACACACGTACCCAGCATGACACACGTTTCAGGATGGGGTGAGTCCAGCAAGGACCACAAACATTCACTGAGGAAACAGTTTCTGAGATACTGTTTATGTGCCCTTTTCGGCAGCTCAGATACAGGTAACACAATTGTATCTTTGATCTCTTACCATAGTTTAAAAGCAGCCTGTGGATTACCTCTCAGAGCAGGGGCAGCTGCTAGAGGTTGGTGAATTATTAATGCTCATGGCAGGAGGCATCCTGTCCTCTGCTGTTCTTCAGATAAAAGATGCATAGAGACGAGCGGCTAACCCCTCTCCCCGACCTGGTGGGAGCGACTCGGGGACTGTGGCAATGAAATTAAAGTGCACTTTTTTTTTTTTTTTTTTTTTTTGCGGTACACGGGCCTCTCACTGTTGCGGCCTCTCCCGTTGCGGAGCACAGGCTCCGGACGCGCAGGCTCAGCGGCCATGGCTCACGGGCCTAGCCGCTCCGCGGCATGTGGGATCTTCCCGGACCGGGACACGAACCCGTGTCCCCTGCGTCGGCAGGCGGACTGCCAACCACTGCGCCACCAGGGAAGCCCTAAAGTGCACTTTTGCGAGAGTCACCCAGAATTATAGGGCAAGGGAAGCATCATTTCTCTTACCTCATGCTAGTTGCTAGTGTGAGGGAGAGTACTGAGTACTAAGAAAACAAGTCTAAAGCCCTTCTCTCCTTCCCTTTCCCTGGGTGGTGGGGCAGAGGCGTGGAGGTGGGAAGGGTCAAGATTTTGGCTTTCGAATGAGTCTCCAGCTGAAGGAGGAGGATGGCGTATTAGTTTGCTCTAGCTGCTGAAACGAGTCACCATAATCTCAGCTGAAAACAGCACACGTTTATCATGTCACCATTCTGGAGGTCTGATGTCCAACACAGGCTAAAATCCTGGTGTTGGTGGGCTGCCTTCCTTTCTGGAAGCTCTTGGGGGAGAATCTGTTTCCTTGCTCACCCGTCATCAGCAGGATTCCGCTGCTTATGGTTGCAGGACTGCGGGTCGAATTCCTTGCTGGCTGTCAGCTAAGGGCAAGGTCCCAGGTTCGAGGGGCAACCTCATTCCTGGGTTCCTGGCATCCTTCTCTGTCTTCCAGTCACATCTCCCTGGCATGCTCGTCTGTCTTCCTCTTCCACTTTTAAGGGCTCCTGTGCTTCCCCAGGGATCACTGGGTTAATGCAGGGTTGTCACCACACCCCAAGGTCCTTACCCTAATCACACCTGTAGGTTCCAAGGATTGGGGTGCGGACATCTTTGGGGGGGCAGGCGTTATTCTCCCACAACAGATGGGTAGGGCCGGAAGGGGCATCGGGAGAGCTCAGAGTCCAAGTGGAGGTGGTGTAGTGGCCCCGGCAAGAGAGGATAAGAATGCTGACGGCTCTGTACACAAGCCTCGGGGGCTGTGTCAGCATGTGGGGCTGGACAAGGCGTCCGGCTCCCTTCTCTTTGTCCCTCCGGCTCCATTATGCCTTGGTGGTGCTCTCAGAAGAGAGCTGCAAGGCAGAGGGCTGGCCATCGAGAGGCTGCAGGGTTTCCATGGCACCTGGCCTTTAGCCCCAACCCTGACGTTCCTCTCCAAGTGACAGGCTGGGGCAGAGGAAGGCGCCGGGGAGGGCGGGGTGGGCTACACAACAGGGAAAGGGAGGTCAGGGGATTTGGGACTCTCCTTTCCATTTTGAAAGCACACCGTATGCCAAGGAGGCGATAAATAACGGTCTAAGAAAACAAATGAACACACAGACACATTTTGAGGCTCCAGTGAAGAGAGCAGTCCTCCAATGATCTTTTTTTTTTTCCTTAATAGCTGGAGCTCCACATGAAGGAGAAGAGAGAAGACATTCAGGTCAAGTGGTCCTTCATCAGCGCGCCAGAGATGGCCATTACGATCCGGCCCAAAGCGCCGGGGGAGGTCAGTCCGTGAGTGTTTGTGATTCCTGCCTCGTGTACGCGCAAACATCGCACATTATGACCACCTGCCCTGGGAGACGGGGCCTCTGATTAATGCGTGTCTGATGTGTGATCCCGGGGAATGCACAGGGCAGTGATGGGGCAGCGTTGGTGGGCGGGGTGGGGGGCAGGGGAGGTGGGGAGGGCCTTCTGTGGATTTAATGCCAGCTCTCACCTGGGCTGCACCTGCAATCACCTGGCAGCTTTTAAAAATTCTGAAGCCTGCCCTGTCCCCCAGGCTTTTAAAAATCCTGAAGCCTGCCCTGTCCCCCAGGCAGGTTTAATTGGACCGGGGGTTTTTTAAAGCACTTGTGTGCAGTGGTTGAAAACCATGGCAGTGATGGAACCTAGGTTTTCCTCACCGCTCTATCACACCTGACCCTCAGATGCTTTCCTTCACTGTGAGGGCGCTCGACTCACCTACAGCTCAGCCTGAGTCCAAAGCCTGGCTTCCAAGGCCACCACCTCCTTTCTCCCCACAGCTTTTGCATAGCTGTGTCTCAAGTCTGAAGGTGATCTCCCCGCTTCCTGTGGTCCTGGGGGTGTGAGGAAGTGAATTTGGGAGAAGGAGGGGCCTGCCGAGTCACATGGGTGCTGTCGCTTTCAGTTGCTGGAAAGATCATGCAAAATGTAATCATTTGTCCATAAATAGTGTAACTGTTTGTGCCTTGATGTAGGTGTAGGCAGTTTGTTTTTAAGACTAAGAAGTTTGAACGGTAATTCTTTTCCCTCGCATACGTCAGAAGTGGAATTGTTGGCCTGACCATTTCGTTGTACAAAGTTCGCGTGTTAAGTGTTTCCCTAGTCACTGCTTTATTTTCTTTTTCTCCTTCCCGCCCATGTTTGCATCTGCTTTCCCCCACCTGGCACTGCTTTTTCAGGCCTACAGTGCACACAGAACGGTTCTGTGAACGGCTCCCCTGCCACCTCTGACATCAAACTTCCTAAGTTCAAGATTGCTCTGCTGGTATTCATAGCAGAGTGTATCCCGCCGAGGGGGTACTGAGTTCTGTGTTCCAAAACTACTCAAATTAAGTGTTTTCCTCTGTGTGGTTATGGTACCAACCTGATGTGAGTTCATGTAAGCGGACGTCAGCATTTGCTTCTGTTAGTGCCGTGTCAGGTTTTGTCCCCCATCTTTGTTGATTTACATAGTTTTTGAACGTGCAGAATATTAACATAGTTCAAAAGTCAAAATTACGTGAACTGTGGTTCGTGAACTCCACCCCATCCATGCCCCGCTCTCTGCTCGCTTGTTTCTTTCGTTTTCGTTTACCCATCCTAGGTTTCTTTTTGCGAAACGGACCTTATTCCCCCATTCTCACCCACTCAGTGGCATGCTGTGCGCACTCTTCACACCTTGCTCCCCACAAGGCCCTGTACGTTTCCCTGCCGACCATGGGCTCCCCATATTAACGAGAAGCGTGACTTTCCCAATGAAGTAATCCTGTGGGATTAAACAGCCCCTTGGAGCTGGGTCCTGTGGACTTAGTAGCCCCTTGGAGCTGGGTTCTGTGGACTTAGTAACCCCTTGGACCCCTGGTAGTTGAGATGGCATGGGGGCAGGGGGACAGCTATAAAGGAAGGTTGCCAAGTCAGCTGCTCTGTGGATCTAAAATGTGATGGTCTCTGAGCACCCCAGAACCCATCTTTCCCCCTTGGTTTCCTCCTCTGTCAAGTGAGGAGAAATGTGCGGGTTAAAAAAAGATAGAAATAGATAAACCAAGTGCAGTACATCCATAAATGGACTATTATTCAGTCGTTAAAAAGATTGGAGTACTCATATGTGCTAGATTAGGAATGAACCTTGAAAACATTGTGCTCAGTAAAAGAAGCCAGACATAAATGACCATGTCACATGATCCCATTTCTATGAAATACCCAGAATACACAAATCCAGGAAGATGCAAAGCAGATTAGTGGCTGTCAGGGGCTGTCGTGGGGAGGATTGGGGAGTGACTGCTAATGAGTAAAGGGCTTACTTTGGAGGTGATGGAAATATTTTGGAACTAGATAGAGGTGATAGTTTTACAACACCGTGTATGTATGTACTAAACATCACTGAAATGCATACCTTAAAATGGTTACATTTATGTTATGTGAATTCACCTCAGTTTAAAAATAAGGGTATCAAGAACCTATTGCAATAAGAGAAAGATGATGGCGGAGCGGTTCTCAGTGCAGACCCTGGAGCTTAACTCTCAGCTCTGCCACTTATGAGCTGCGAGACCCCACACACGCTAATTAATTTCTCTGTGCCTCAGTTTCCTCATCTGTAAAATGGGGATGATGATTTTCAACGTGGTTGTGGGGATTAAACTAGTTAATATGTGTAAGTGCGTAGCATCGGGCCTGACACATCCTAAGAGTGACATAAGTGTGAGCCATTTTGATTATTATTAGTTTAGAGTTCCTGGCAGAGAGTAGATTTTCAGTAAATGGCAGATTTGGCCTAAGTTTGCTGTAACAAGGCCTGGCCAGCTGGTTGTCCTTGGGACACCACAGACCAATTTCTGAAATCACTTCCAGCCCCGCAAGTTGGAAGATTTTTCAATAGGTCTGTGGTCCTGGTGGAAATCAGGTCCTGCCAGTGTCCATCCCCCTGCGCAGGGGGTGCTGGAGCCCCACAGTGGGGACATTTACGCCAGAAGTGACGAGGGACACAGAGGGCCCTGGAGCCGTCAATGGCAGAGCCAGAATCGTGGCCAGGGTGGCCGAGCACCGGCACCCACCACACTGCAGCTGCTCTCCTGAAACCACGAACGATGGCGTGGATGGCAGCAGGGCTGGCAGGGCTCGACGTTTTCTTTTAGCAAGTGTCCAGCCAGATCCAGCTTTTAAGCGTTCAAAACAGAAGCTATTATATTTAAACAAGGCTTTTAACTGAGATTTTAAAAAATAGATCCTCCTTGCTTAAAAATTGAGAGATAAGATATGCAGAAAAGTGCATATATTGTAAGCGCGCAGCTGATTGAAGCTTTCACACACTGACCATTCATGAGTGCCCAGCGCCCAGCGCCACAAACAGAGCAGGGTCAGCTCCCCAGAAAACCCCCTCTACCCGCTTCCACTCACTACCTGCAGCCCCTACAAAGGGTAACCATGCTCCTGACTTCTAACATGTATGACTTATCTATGCTTGCAACTAATAATTACCTCAAACCCAGCAGCGTGAAACAACACACATTTACCTCATAGTATCTGTCAGTCAGTCCAGGCTTAACTGGGTCCCCTGCTCAGGGTCTCATGGGCTGTCATCATGGTCTGGGCTGACTGCCCTTCCTAGAGCTCGGGATCCTCTTCCAGTCTCCTATGGTTGTTGGCAAAACTCGGTTCCTTGTGGTTGTAGGACTGAGGTCCTCAGTTCCTTGATGGCTGTGGGCTGGGGCTGCTCTCAGCTCCTTGAAGCCCTGCAGTTCTGTGCCATGTGGCCCCCCTCACACGTGGAAGCTGACTTCTTCAAGGTTAGGAGGAGAATCTCTTGCTCTGGTTTGCTAAGAGGGAGCTGCATATACCATAACCTTTGGCCATCACATCACTTTGCCGTATTCCGTTGGCTGGAAGCAAGTCACGGGCGCCACCTGCCCTCCAGGCGAGGGGATGATGCAGAACATGACTCGTTGAGGGTCATCTTAGGATTCTGCCCACAAACAGCATTAGCTTAGTTTTGCTTGTTTTGGTACTTTAAATAAAGGAGTCATGCAGTACTGTGTATGTGTTTTTCCGTGTTTGGTTTCTTTCACTTAACATTATGTCTGTGAGATTCATCTGTGTCTTTGTGTGTGCCTGTAACATTGTTTGTGCTCATCGCCCTGTGGTATTCCATTGTGTGACTGCACCAGAACTTGTGTATCTGTTCAGGTATTGATGGATACTTAGGTAGTTTCCAGTTTGGGGTCATTATGCATAGTGGTGCTCTGAACATTCTAGGACACATGAGCGCGTTTCTGTTGGGTATTAATTATTGTAGCCTTATAGAGCTTGACACCTGGTGATGCAAGTCATCCTGCTGTGTTATTCTTCTACAAGCTTGTCTTCATTTTTATTGAGCCTTTCCATTTACTTGAATACCATTTATTTTTTTTTTTCTTCTTATTTATTTTTGATGTGGGCCATTTTTAAAGTCTTTATTGAATTTGTTACATGATTGCTTCTGCTTTTATGTTTTGGTGTTTCGTTTTGGTTTTTTTTTGGCCGCAAAGCATGTGGGATCTTAGCTCCCCAACCAGGGATTGAACCCGCAACCCCTGCATTGGAAGGTGACGTTGTAACCAGCGGACCACCAGGGAAGTCCCTTGACTACCTTTTAATAAAAAATAAAAAAAAAAATCAAACATCAGGCAAGAAAGAAAAAACATGTGCCTGTATGTTTACAGGAAAGGACTGAAAAGATATACACAGAAATGTTAACACATGTCTATGTTGCACATGTCTTATCTTTAACTTTTAAAAACAAGGAGGATGGGGCTTCCCTGGTGGTCCAGTGGTTGAGAGTCCGCCTGCCGATGCGGGGGACACGGGTTCGTGCCCCGGTCCGGGAAGATCCCATGTGCCGCGGAGCGGCTGGGCCCGCGAGCCATGGCCGCTGAGCCTGCGTGTCCGGAGCCTGTGCTCCGCAACGGGAGAGGCCACAACAGTGAGAGGCCCGCATACCGCAAAAAAAACAAACAAAAACAAACAAAAAAAAACAAGGAGGATGAATGACTTCTGAGATCAGCAAAGATAAGAGTGAGTGAGTGTCTCACTGTCCTAGTCTGATCTCCTGGAGCCCTGGTGACCCCCAAGTCTGTTTGGTCCCAGGGACATCTGGAGAGCCATGCATTTGCTTGCCCACTTGTACATGTGCCTGGTTACGAGATGGTTTGGTGACTCCCTCCTCTTTCGGCAGGACCAGGCGGTTGGGGCAGATGCAGTCTCTGAAAGTCTCAAGGATATTGTGAAGCACCTGGTTAGCTCTGCGTCCCCATCAGCGGTTCTGAGCACAAAGCCTACGGATGTGAGGGGAGTTCAGGTAAACCAGTTCACCGGGTTGTGGGTGCTTCATGACCCCCTGAAGGACCGTGGTCCACCCGCCTGGAGAATTTGTGTGCATTTCCCACGCTCGCCCCCCATCCCTGCACCTTGCCTCTGCCCACCCCCACCCGCCCCCGCAGTAGAGCGAGATTGCACGGTCGCTTGCTGGTGGGTGATGACCACGGTCTGGGGCAAAGCTCTGAGTTCAGGGCACAGGGTTCCGAAGCCCCATGGGAGGAAAGGAAGAGGAGTCTGGCCCGCTCAGCAGAGTCCAAGCCGAAGTAGCCCAGATCCTCTCCTTTTAGGAACCAGAACTTGACTTTTTGCTGTGCCCCCAGAGACTGTTGTCTGGGATCGCACCCTTCCAGAACTAAGGTACCTGGGAACTGCCCCGAGGCAGGCAGAGTGAGCGCACTGGACCCACAGACTTTTAGCCCAGGACGGGGACAGCCTGCGTCCACACTGCCTCTCAGGGGTCTGTCGCCCTCAGGCAGTGCGGACACATGAGGCCATCTCCTCTGTGGGGTCCTTCCCCTGCTGGCGACCTCCCCCCCCGCCCAATTAGGTGCCAATTCTCTGGCTAAATTCACGTCCAGGGCATTCGCCCAGGACAGCCTCCCTGGGCTTGGTCCCGCACATCTCTTTCGGCGACACATCTAAAAACCTTGGCTTGAGGTCAATTAATTCTCCTAGTCATGAGCAGATCTCTTCGTGATGACTATGCAAAACATACACTTACAATCCCTAAAGTTATTTTTCCTATGTCTTTCCAGTATTTTTATGTGGCATGTAGAATAGCCACTGTTATTATATAGTGGGGGGTGAAGTCAGTGTGAAAGTGTAACTTCTTGTTTTTTTAAGTCTTTATTGAATTTATTACAGTATAGCTTCTGTTTTTTATGTTTTGGGTTTTTGGCCACGAGGCATGTAGGATCTTAGCTCCCTGACCAGGGATCGAACCCTCACCCTCTGCCTTGGAAGGCGAAGTCTTAACCACTGGAGAGCCAGGGAAGTCCCTAAAGTATAACTTTTCATATGATTTTTTGATGCAGGCTCTCGGTCTCTGGTTCCTGTTAGGGCATCACCACTGTGAATGTGTAGAGCCTGGAGACAAAGTCTCTTTGATTCGCTGCACAGATATCAGGGGATCACAGTGCTTTGTGGTTCGCTCTGGGTTGAAGGTTATCAGAACAGGAGAAACCTGATGCAGCAGAGGAGCAGCTGAGTAAGCAGCCGAGCAGAGGGAGGGGCTCGTGGGTGTGCGCGCAGGGTTCCCAGGGCTGTGCCGCCAGGTGGGGCTCGGCCCAGAGACGGGGGGTCAGGCCAGGCTTCCCAGAGGCGAGAGCAGAGAGGCTTGGCTCTTCTCTCTTTCAGTAATTCTATCCTGGTGGCTTAGTTCAGATCAGAGCTGCCTGTTTTGAATATGACTATACATTTTTAATGTCAACGTTTGAGAAACTTCACAAAATAGTAGTGCATTTTTAGAATACACTGATTCAGAAAATAAAGGGACCGGGACTACCATAAATTCAATAATGCTTTTAAATAAATTTGTAGACTGTATGTATCAAAATAACATGCCTATTATATTAGGGTTCTCTAGAGAAACAGAACCAATGGATGTGTGTGTGTGAGTGTGTGTGTGTGTGTGTGTGTGTGTGTGTGTAAAATAGCCTCCATAACTGCATGAGCCAACTATATATTTATGTATAAAATATATATATTTATACATATAAGGGGACTTATTCTAGGGAGTTGGCTCATGCTAGAGGCTGACAAGCCCTGAGAGTTGCAGGAGAAGCCAGCAGGCTGGGACCCAGGAGAGCTGATGTTTCCACTCAAGTCCAAAGACAGGGAAAAATGGATATCCCAGCTCTAAGGCAGTCAGGCATGAGGAATTCCCTCTTATCTGAGGGAGAGTCAGCCCTTTGTTCTATTCAGGCCTTCACCTGATTGGACGAGGCCCACCGCAGTGGGGAAGGCAGTCTGCTTTCCACGGTCTGTTGATCTACATGTAAATCTCAGGCAGAAACCTCCTCGCAGACATACCCAGAATCACGTCTGACCACATGCTGGGCACCCCACGGTCCAGTCAAGTCAACACATAAGATTAGCCATCACGCATACGCAATTGAGAAAACATTGCATCTCCACCCCAGACGTGTGGGCTGCTCTGTCCCCAGTGCACAGGGACCTGGGTCTTGAGGACTTCTGTGATTACTTCTTGGCCTCCCAGCACCTGCAGCTCACAGTGGGCAAGGCCCTGCCCTGGCTCAGAATCATGTTTTCTAGGTGGTGACCTAAAGAACACTACAGTCGCTTGAGATGTTAGTAAGCATCCCCCCCCCCAAAAGCACTCTGAGGTCAGATCAGCTCTTAGGATCCCTCCCTGGGAGGCGCTCGCTGTGCAGAGGCCTGTGATGTCTCTGAGAAGCTTTCCCAGGATTCCCAAATGTTTGTACCTAAGGAGCCCCTTGTAACTAACACTCGTAGCCATGAGTGGGAGGTGGAAGCTAGCTTGAGAAAGGCTGGCCTGAAGGTGAGGGCCCACAAGCTTGGGGAGCTCTCTGTTGGAAACACCTTGATGCCCATTTGAGGATATGGGGATGAAGCAGGCTCAAGGGGTACCTGCCTCTGCTTTGTCCCTAGCGTGGCGCCTGGATGACACTTAGATCCTCCCCACATGGATGGCAGGTCTGCCAGGAGGTGGGAAGTAGCCAGTCTCCTGGCTGGTGTCGCACTTAGTGCTAGTGGGCAGTGGGCCCCTGCATCCCAGGCAGGGCGCCCCACTCTGTCTCAAGCTCCTGCCCTGGGTCACGCGTGGCCCCATCTCCACCCACAGTGAGATTCAGGGGAGTCCTCTCTGGGGGAATGCTTAACTCCCTCGCTCGCTTTCTGTGGGATGTACAAGGCTTCCAAGGAGGGGAAGCAGCTGTGGGTGACTGGTACCCTACCTCCCCAGTTGTTACAGAGCAGGCCTGGGAGCCAGGCTCCCTCTGGAGGTTTTCTTGAAGATTCCTTCCGTGTAGCAGGTGTCCAGCGGCCACTGCCTCTTTGCCACGGCTCACCGTTCTTTGTCTTCCTTTTTGCAGCATCTGCAGTGCACTTCATCTACTCAGGAATCCTGCCCCCCCAAACCTCCAAGGGCTCATGAGCTCAAACTATTGGTGAAGAATATTCGAGCCTCGCTGCTGAGCCATCCTGGTGCTTCAGGTGGGTGGTGGCGCGGCAGGGGCGCCCAGGTGAGGGCGGGGCACCCGGCTGGCTGTGGATGTGACCGTCTGCGGTGTGAGCAGAGGGGAGGAGGTGCCTTGTGGGTTGCCCGTGGCCTTTGCTTCCTCCTGTGGAAGGGGGGTGCCACATGGGGGCATTATGGGTGTCCGGAAGGCTTTGGGCCCACCGGGAACCCTGTGTTGCCCAGAGAGGCTCCTATGGAGACAAGACAGAAACATTGCAGAATGGGTGATTCCTTTTCGGTGATTCTGAGTCAGTGCTGAGACCCCGGATGCCTAGTAGCCTGGGACCGGACACATCTTTCCACTGTGGTGTGGTGTTTGCTAAGAGTAGCGATGAGTTCTTTGTATTGTCTGAGAACATCGGGGTTACTTATATTTATTTGTGGGGAGTTTCCTCCTGTTCCAGAAGTGCAGGTGGGACACACTGAACTACCTAGAAACTCTGTGAATGAAGCTGGGTATGGGTGGTGTTTTGGTAACTCACACCTCGCCCCTTGAGGCCACGCCGCTTAGCAGCCGGGAGGGGCTCCCGGGACCCAGTCGGCCAAGGTTGGGGTCCCAATTTCTAACCTCTGCCAGCAGGTCCCCATCTGAGTCAGAATCTCTCCTTGAAAGTGACTGTGGTGATTAGTAAGATGATGTGTAGAACACCGAACACCACCTGGTACACGGGAAAGGGCCAACATATTCCAGTCCTTTACCGTTGAATTTTTTTTTTTTTTTTTTTGCGGTACGCGGGCCTCTCACTGCTGTGGCCTCTCCCGTTGCGGAGCACAGGCTCCGGACGCGCAGGCTCAGCGGCCATGGCTCACGGGCCCAGCCGCTCCGCCGCATGTGGGATCTTCCCAGACCGGGGCACGAACCCATGTCCCCTGCATCGGCAGGCGGACTCTCAACCACTGCGCTACCAGGGAAGCCCTACTGTTGATTATTGATTACACAGTATATTCACGGCTTTCTGCCATGGGGCAAGCATTGCCTCGAAGCAGACACAACTGTTCACTAGTGAAATGTCCTGTTATCTGGATCAAATACCTCCAAAAGTTTTGACTGAGCTGAGTTAGGTATAAAAACCTACATCTGGGCTTCCCTGGTGGCGCAGTGGTTGAGAGTCTGCCTGCCGACGCAGGGGACACGGGTTCGTGCCCCGGTCTGGGAAGATCCCACGTGCCGCGGAGCGGCTGGGCCCGTGAGCTGTGGCCGCTGAGCCTGCGCGTCCGGAGCCTGTTGCTCCGCAACGGGAGAGGCCACAACAGTGAGAGGCCCGCGTACCACAGAAAAAAACAAAAGCAAAAAGAACAAACCTACATCTTTGTAAGAGGGAAATGGGTTCTCTGGGAGGTATCCCCAGATTTAGCAGTTACCCCAGATGCCCTTCCTTTTCCAAGCTGTTAGTTTTGTCCAAAGTGAGGCCGACATCTCTGCTGGAGTAATGTTGCCCCCAGGGAGGGCCCTCACCAGAGAGCTGTGCCCGCAGTCAGAACCGAGGGGGGAGCAGGGGCACTTGGGGCAGCCCGGGGCTGTGGACATCCAGTGAGTATCCCCAGATGAGGTGCTTTGAGAGTTTGTAAATGGCAAATGAAAGGAACACTGGACCCTCTGAGCCACAGGTCCAGTGAGCCAAGACCAGACATTTAACTCGGCCTTTCTTTTAGATGCAAAATGTCTTAATGCAACTGGAAAACAAAAATAAAAGCCAATATGGTGCCCCTCTGTTTGATTACAGGCAACATTAACCCAGTATGTGTAGTTCAGCTGAATGATCCCATCCAGAAGTTCTCCAGCACCCTCTCGAGAAACACTACCGCCCTCACCTGGGAAGAAGAATTCACCTTGTGCGTAAGGGGCCCGGGTTTCCATGGCCACACCTACTCAAGACTGCCAAATTCTAAAACCGTTCTGCAGCACTGTTCATACAAAAGAAGGGAGGGAGGGAGGAAGGAAGGGAGGGAGGGAGGGAGGAAAAAAGAAAATATAAAAAATTAAAAAGAAGTACATTAAGCATCTGAGGAAGCTGTGAGTCAGACACGGATTTCTTTTGAAGGCAGCTCTCAGTATCGATTCACTCCGCACCTGCGCGCCCACACCCTGCTGTGGCGAGGGATCTGTCGCTGGGCCCTCCACCTGCTTGAGAAGCCCACACCTTCCAGAGCAGAAGGGAAGGAAACTTCCGACTGATACCAAAATCTGACAAAGAGAATGGAAAAAAGGAAAATTGTAGACCACTTACAAATTATGATGCAGGAATTCTGACTAATGTATTATCAAATAGAATCCAGTAGCACATTAAAAATAATACACCAAGACCGACTGAGTTCATACCAGAAATGCAAGGATGGTTTAATGTGACGAGATCTATTAATGAAATCCACTGTGTCACTAGATCAAGGGAGAAAACAAACTTATTATTTCTCTGTATGCCCAAAAGATACTCAGTGACATTTAATAACCATTTCTAATTTTTAAAACTTAATTAGAACAAGATTTATGGTCGCTTTTTTCATATGATTAAAAACAAAAAATCACTGTAAGTGATAAGTAGTAGGAACAGTCCCACTAAAGTCAAGAGAAGGATACCAACTGTTTTGTTCTAGAAGTACTAGTTAATGCAATTAGATAAGAAAAAGAAATAGTACACAAGTAAGAGGCAAAACTAATCATTACTTGGAGATAATATTATTGCATCTTTAGACTACTGCAGAAAATCAATTGAAGCTATTAGAAATGATGAACATAGGGTAGAAATAATAATATTATAAAAACTAATGTAAATAATATTTCAGTAAAGTAGCTGAGTACAAAAATACAGAAATCAATCCCTTTCTGGTGCGTAAACCATAATTAGAAAAAGTAATGGAAGAAGGTGTCCCATGTATAATATAAAGAGCCTTTATAAATTATTAATGAAAATATGAGCACTCTCTTAGAAAACTGGGCAAAACTTCTGTACTAGAAAAGCAAAAGTAAGAGCCGTAGATAGCCAGAAACATCTGAAGAGATGTTCAATCTCAGTAATAGCTAAAGTAATGCAAACTTAAACAAAAGAGATTGTTTTTCGCCTTATAGGTTGGTAAAGAAAAAGTGAGAAAAGCCAGTGGAAATACTGTATGTATTAGAATAATCATTCTGGAGGTCATCAATATGTATAAAAAAAGAAAATCTCTTATATGCATGTACCTTTTGATTGACAGTTGCTCTTTTCCCAAGGAAATAATCACACAGTGTGTGCAAAGATATATGTATGAGGATATTTATCTCAGCTTGTTTATAATTACAAAATATTGGAAACAACCCATTATTAAGGGTTGGTTATTAAGGAACTGGCTGAATAAAATCTCTTAAGGCCAGAGCGTGGAATACTAGACACCTATGAAAAAGGATGTCGCTCTGTAGTTATTGACATGGAAAGATGTCCATGATATCTTAAGTGAAAAAAATAGGTTACAAAGGAGGAGAGAGGTATGTTATGTTCTATATTTGTTTTCAGACAATTATATGGCTATATCTTTCAATACAGTACCTACTAGCCACATGTAGCTCTTTAAATTTCAATTAATTAAAAGCAAACGAAATTAAACCCAGTTCCTCAGTTTGCACTGGCCTCATTTCAAGTTCTGAATAGCTGTATGTGGCTAGTGGCCACCGAATTTGATAGCCTCTCAACAGAACATTTCCACCATCATTCAGAAAGTCCCATTGGATTACCCTAGGAGACCAGTCACCAAATATTAACAGTAACTATTTCTGGATGGTGAAGTTGCAGATAATCTTTGTAATTTGGTTATATATCTCTTTGTTTCTTAAATATTGATGGTGATTTGCATTCCTTTCTATCATCAGGAAAAAAAAATACTATTTCAAGAAAACAGTAAAGCATTTTTAAGGATTCATGGCCCTTCTTCCTTTCCACAGTGAGCTGAATGCCAAGTCGAGGGAGTTGCACCTGCAGATTTCAGAGGATGGGCGATCCTCAGAAGGTGGGTGGTCAGCAGGCAGACGGAGACCCTGCTCTCTGGGGGGGTCATCCAGCGGCCCTGACCAGGGCCTTGGGGTGGGGAGGGTGGGAGACCCAGCAGAGCCTCGGCCCCTCCCCCTAAGCCACTCCAGGTCTTCCTAAGGGAATGTTTGGTCGGAAGTCCATTCTGTTATTAGCAAGGTCAAACGTTTTGGGAAAGAGTATATTCAACTGGTTCTTTTCTTTTTCTTTTTTTTTTAAACGAATATCAAAAATCTTTTATTCAGCAGTTCTTGGCTTAGAGAAGTTCTCAACCCTCTTAGCCTTAATAGACCTTTTACTTCTTTTTTTTTTTTTTTTTTTGCGGTACGCGGGCCTCTCACTGCTGTGGCCTCTCCCGTTGCAGAGCACAGGCTCCGGACGCGCAGGCTCAGCGGCCATGGCTCACGGGCCCAGCCGCTCCGCGGCATGTGGGATCTTCCCGGACCGGGGCATGAACCCGCGTCCCCTGCGTCGGCAGGCGGACTCTCAACCACTGCGCCACCAGGGAAGCCCCCTTTTACTTTTTTTTTTTTCTTCAGTTTTTAATTGTGTTGATACATATAACTTAAAAGTTACCATCTTAGCAACTTTTGAGTGTAGAATTCAGTGGTATTAAGTGAATTCTCATGGTTGTGCAACCATCACCGCCGTGCATCTCCAGAATTCACCTTACAAAACCAAAACTCTGTCCCCATCAGACACTCGCTCCCCAGGCCCCTCCCCCAGCCCCTGGCCCCCACCTTCTGCTCTCTGTCTCCATGAATTACAGCTGACTCTTCCTTGTAGAATAAGCCATAGCAGCTTAACTTGGACACATGCTTTAGATACAAGTCAGCAACAAATAGAGGTAAAAATCACTAGTGAGCATGGACCTGGTGTGTATGTGTGTAAATCAGTAGTTTCAGTATTTATTAGGTTTTTAGGAATCCCCATGAACGTACCAGAATTGGGAAAGGTGACCCTTCCCTGGCTTATTCAGCTGTGAAACCTAGCCATCTGGTTACCTCCTAAAGTCACAAAGGCATAGGAAAAACAATTCAAGCTCCTGGGTGGTAGCAAGGATTTTTGAGGCAGTTTCCCTGGTTCTGTAGTCTAGAGATAACTCCTAAGATAAGAACTGACATTCCAAGAGAGGGCATGTGGTCTGAACACAGGGCGGAACCACTGTTTTCCTAATCCATTCCTGGGGCACCACCCCTGTTGGCTCCATTGGAATTTCATTCCAGCCCAGCCTGATGGGATCTATGAAATCTCAAACTTAAAAAAAAAAAAAAAAAACCCAGAACAAACAACAACCATATAACCTTTCCTCAGGCTCATATATTTTTAACATTTTGCCCCATTTCCTTTATTATTTGTACTCACAATTGCTGGTTGCTCTCACTTTGCTCTCTCTGTCTGTCTACACACACACACACACACACACACACACACACACACACACACACACA